ACTTTGCGAATAATTATAGAGTCCAAATGGTAAATTAGTTGCTGTGGCAAACAATGAAGGAGTCGTTACGATACTTAGTGCGCCGAAACTCGAAATGCGTTTCTTTTTTGAAGGTTTCTTTTTTTTTTTATTAACGAAGACTTGACTGTTAACGTTGATTTGAGCTCAGCATAAAACTCTTCAGGGTTTGCTACCGTTTTGAAGTACAGTTCTGTCAGTTCTTTGGCTAATTTGGATGATTTTACGAATTCTTAAAAAATTTTGTTTTGAGCTACTCGACTAGCGGTCACTGGCTTTGTGCTGGGAACGTGTGTGTGTGTGTGTGTGTGTTGGATGCAGCTGCACTGGCTTTACATTCATGTAATTTACAAGATAATAATCAAAAAAAGGAAATCGCAAACAAATGTTCGTGCGATGATTTGTTGATGGGAATTCCAGTGGCTTTGACATGTGCCTTGCATTAAAGAAATATGCTTGTAGCGCATGCAGTGAAAGTGAGGGCGATATGTTTTTCGGCAGCGTCGGATCGCCTGTTGACTGGTTCGGACGACAAAATCGTCAAACTTTATATGATGTAAGCTTTGTGAATCTTTTGCGATACAAAAGTTGCTTTTATCAGCCTGTTTTAATACATTTCGGCATAATTTGAAGTATTTATTCAGGAAGTAATGCCTCAACGGACATACATTCACCCGCATAATTAATCTATTTCGAAAATTACGAGAGTTAGTTATACGCAACTTTAAGAACCTGAATTGAAGCCTTCTGCTAGTTACCAGTTTGAAATAAAAAGGGAGAAAGAGGAGAAAGTGAAAATTCGAAGTGTGGTAACATACTTTTTAAATTTTAATGTGCTTTTTAAACGGACAGTAATTTCCAGTGGAACCGACAAGGCGCAGTTGGTGAGAAGTTTCTGTGGCCATCGAAGCTGTGTCACAACAGTCAGGTTTCATCCATACGATATTCAGATGTACGTGATATAATTCCTCTCTTCCTGGCAGTTGCGTTATAATCAGACACAGATTTTACCAGATAATTCACCATTTTAGCTTTGCAAGTTCGTCAAATGACGGCTCGATCATCTTGTGGAATGTTGCGCACGATCGGCCAGTTCATGTCTTTCAAGAAGCGCATGAAGGAGTGGTTTGTTTTCGTGTATTACTGCTGGGGCGGTCTTTTGTTAATTATAGTGAGGAATGACTATTTGGAAAAAGCTGTCATGCACAAGAACTAGAAATAATCCGACACATTAAACTGGCGCAAAAAAAGGTTAGAAGGTAGAATTACAAATGGAACTGTCTGTACATAATTTAAGGTGAAGAGTTTTGCATTCTCAAAAGAAGGGCTTCACGTAGCAAGCGTTGGCGAGGAT